TTTACAATGTTTCATTAACCCTTCCTTACTTCCTGTTTTGTCCCAGATGGGGAAATGTGCTTAACAGACCAGGTAAAGGACGTAATAAATAACATGACAACATTAATCCATTAACAAATAAAGGAAAACATACATGCACAAGAATTAAAAAAAAAAAACCTCTTCATAACATACTCATAAAACACAATAATCTTCATAAAGGCTGCTTTTGCATAGTTTGGTCACTGATTAGGTTATTTTAGAAGATAATTATTTAAACACTGTAACAGAAATGGCATCTAAGTGCTTGATAGCTAGTATTGTCTAGTTATGTCAGGTTAAAAAACATCATTGGTGAGTAGAGTTTGGATGCTTCCTTAAATGAGCAAACAAAGAAAATACAATGTATAGAAATCGTTATTTTACTCTGCCTTGAGGATTATGTTGTTGATGGAATTGTAAGCATCACACACTATTATACTAGAGTTGGAAATGCTTAACAGATGTACTGGCATTATGACAAATGGTTGCAAAAGCTGTCTAGAGCCCCTCCTGATGTTATGCTTAAGGGCTGGCATATGTAGATAATGTAGTTAAATTGCATTTAAATGTTTTAAAATCTTGGTGATATTTTACAAAAAAGAAAATAAAACGGTCAAATGGCAAAGAGCTTAAATGGCCCAACGACGAGCGAGTGTGAGTGTATATTGGCTGATTTAAAAAAAAAAGAATAATATCAACAGTCTTGGTAATTAAGCCAGGGTATAGAAAAATGAATGCAACTTTCACACTGTGAGGTTTGTAAAAAATAAACTAATATCCATTCATTTTGTAGCCACTTTATCCAATTCTGGGTCACAGGGGAGCACCAGGCACAAGGCAGAACCATATATAATGGACACCATCCATTGTATATTTTAATTAAAGTGATTATTAAATTTAACTTGCTGGTTTATTACCCCAATGATAAGCTAATAGACCTTCATATGCCTCGGAGTATATATAAGAAAAAATAAGCTTTTTCCTATAGGAATGGTTGCAAGGCCAGTCATAATGCACATGTATATGTGTATCTTTGCTAATTATAGCTGTACTTAATTCACTTTATTTGTTTTGTTTGTAACACCTCTAAAAAATGTAGTAAGAAAATTTAAACCACATTTTCAGCCCCTCCTCTTTTAAAATATATTTGTGTGGTTTTGATTTATGAATGATTGTAGCTGTGCACTGCCAGTTTATTTTGAACAAGAGCAAGAAGATGATTTCCTGTCAAAAGGTTATGGAGAAGCATAACCAAGAGATATGGATTCTGCAGCCTGAAGTCAATTAAAATGTCCTGTAATTCTATTCCTTCTCTCAGGCTCTGAACAAAAAAAGTCTTACCACTGAGGTGCAAGTACTGGGAATGTGTTCCATAAGAGACAGAAAATACACAGCACTCTAATGACCTACAATAATGTTTTGTATTTTCAAACAGTTTGTAGAAAAGAGGCTCAAAATGCCCTTAACACAAGAAAAAAATCAAAGGCCAAAAAGAATATCAGAGGTAAAAATACAAGAAACAAGACAACAGAAGAATGTACGAACCAGCACAGTCAAAAGAAAGCTCTAGCTACTAAATCAGTTTTAAAAATTGTATAAGGATTGAGTGACACAGGAAAATGGCTTCTCTGTGCCAGTTCCTTGTTCTGAAGGTTTTGTAACTCATGATTTCTTAAGGATTAAAGCTAGTGAGGCACATCATTGTGGTTGCTTCAAATGTCATATTTGGTGGCAAAAGCCTTATGATCTGAAGAAAATTAGAATGGGTTTAATACTGTTGAGGTCAGTGAAATATGCAACTTGTTGCTGAATTGTTTTGTATTTGATATCTGATCATCATGCCATGTAGCACCACTGCTTATGGGTTTTTACTATTACTTAAATATTCTTTTAATCCATACAATCAAAACATTGTAAGTATTGCATACAGTATGTATTGGATAATATGCTGACTCACTTTTCCATATGTTGGAATATGATTTTGCTTTAGATCAAAGTGTCACTTGTTACGTGCCTAATTTAAGATGATCAAAATCTGTAAATTCAACAAAACCATTTGCTGTACTTCATTAACTTGGATACAGACATTGCCATATAGCCACATTAAAAAAAAAAACAACAGAAAAAGTTATCATAGCAAAGTAATTTATATTTGCATTTTTTCCAAGAAAATGAATGAATGAATGAATGGATCGGAACCTTCAGACACTAAGTAGGTGGCATAACAAGGCATTTATTTTGCTTCCACACAGTGCAAACTGTTTTTATCATTTTGTCTGCATCTCTACAATAAAAGGAAGCCAAATTCAGTTTGACATTTCAGGTGGATTTCACGAACGGGCAATTTTTATTTTGCTATTTCTTCATGTAAGGAATCCCCTAGTTGCCATGGCTTTGGTATCTCCTCTTCACGCTGATAGTTAAAGCATTAAAGCATTTTCACTGAAGATTAGTGATGCGTGATGTTTTGAGATTGTTTTACTGCTGTAGTTTTTAAAAGGGAAATGGGGAGTGTTGCCTCACTTCTGCAGGCACAGAGCTGCTGTAGTGCTCCTCTGAAAGGAAAGTGTTTCGTTATCTTTAGAGTGTCCTAGGAACAAAAACCAAACATCCTCCCCAGTCAAAGCAAACAGCCTCCCTGTTTAGTCACTCCCACTCCTCAACTCAGGTCCTGAGTTGTACGGATGCAGAAATGCTATAAATGCTGAGTTAATATTGCTGGGGATACTCAAAATCTTCAAACTGATCAGGGTTTTTTCCACAAACTAGGTTTTAAATAGCTCTGTGGTTCTTTCTTTTGGTCAGTAATACTGGCAGTTTCTAGGGGGGTTTGCATGTTTGTGGTACTATGAGAAAGATGAAGCCCTATTGCTAGTCTGCTTCCCTTTTCTAGCACGACAATGAATTTTGTTCTTCTTTTATCTTTTACACAGGCTCTTATATGATGGTTGACTCTTCACAGCATGATGCTGGAGAAAAAGCACGGATCCAGCTGCCAGTGATGAAAGAAAATGATACACACTGCATTGACTTTAACTACTTATTGTACACCCAAGACGGCTCAAGCCCAGGAACGTTAAACATTTTAGTAAAGGTCAACAAGGGTCCTCTTGCTAATCCCATCTGGAATGTGACCAGTTACACTGGCAAAGACTGGCTTCGAGCAGAACTGGCAGTCAGCACCTTCTGGCCCAATGAATATCAGGTAATATCAAATGACTGATTTTTCACATTTCTGGTGATTTTAATAGTGTTTTCTTACTATTTTTTCTTGACATTAAATTTGTGGTAAATGACTATTTTTTTACGGTTTTATAAAATCGGATTTGCACTTACTTGGCACTCACCTCAAAGGATCCCAAATCTCTGAGATGCAAGAGACTCACTTCCTCCACCACTGTAGTTTGACACCCACCTGGATGACACACATGGCAACCATTTTGCTCCACCAGCCTTCCTGTCAAACTGATCAGGTGTAGGTGGGGGAAATTTCAGGCTGAAATAAGGGGAGGATTTTAGGCAAACCTCATTGTTCAAGCCCAGTGTGGAATTTGGCCATGGCACGTGGTTAACTCTCGTACTCTTTCAAACAGACCAAGTAGTAAGGTCCCCTTTTAACATCTTAACTGAACGTTTTGTTTCCTGCAACCCAGTGTACTCCCCGGTCACCATACTGAGACATTTGGTGTGAAAATTCTGGCCTAGAGGGAACAGAGCGTTTGGATATCGTATCATGTTCTCGTACTGGGCTTGGTAAATGTCATGCACAGTACTCATCTCGGCCTTGGACACTGAGGCTATCTTTTAGATCACAACTGTCCCATTCCGGTGCTGTGCCCTGCATAGTGGAATCCCTTTTGTTCATAGTGTAGGGTGTATGGAGCACCAGAGGAAGAGGTGCTGTTTTATTGGAGGCATCATTGTGGACTGCTAGTTTTTACATACTTTTTAAACATTTTCTTGAGGCTAAGAGATTCTTATCCATGTCTTTCTATGAAAGTTTTTTTTCTGTATGTGTTCTGTATTGTGTATTTAATTATCTAAAAATGATTGAAAATAACTAGTAAAATGCTAATCCAGAATGCTTTTGCAAGGTTGTACAACTAGTAGTAAAAGTTTTTAAAATTTGTTACAAGAACATGATAATAAATGTTATAAATAGCAGACATTACACTTTAAATATCTGAATTACTAAAATAAGAAAGGCCCAGTAATAGCCATTTCAATTGAGTAAACTTTTAATTCCTTTTATATGATTCCAAGAAAATGGAAGGAAGACACTGTACTTTTACTCCCAGTGTTTGAATAACTGTATTTTTATATGCCCTTTTTGAGAATAATGGGAACGTGTATTGTATGAGATGGGATATTTATATTTTAAAACTGAATGCTATAAAATATTTCCTGTCTTCCTATTTGTACTTGCTATTGGCTATTTATACTTGCTATTTATTATTTGCTATCCATAGTTATGTCACCCACTGCCTTGATTCAGAAAAGTCCAACACATTTCACTTTTAATATCTGTCCTTTAACAAACAAACAGAAAAGAAGAAAAAAGTGGTGATTCATTTGTTTAACCATAATGAATCTGAATGTTATAAAAAGGAATTAGAAGAAAGGTTGTGTTTTAATTTAAATAGTACTTCAGAAAATATAAATAGCACTAGGCAGAAACTGACAAAAGAAAACACAAAACAACACAAGAAAACAATACCAAACAACAAAAGAAAACACATCAGCCAGCTCCACAGTTTCCATCCCCACATCAACACAAGCACTTAAGCGATTATGGTTTGAGGTAATTATACATATGACAGTTACATTTGTAGTACATTTACGTTGTAAGACATTTTTATTTGTTCAAATTAAAGGTTGACATTCAGCTACATGGTTTGCAGTATATTCTTGTAATGACATAATTGAAATAACCTCAATAGGTTTATTATTTTGTAGTCCTGAACAATGATATACTGGTAAATTGTTACATTCCTGCTTGCATTCATTTCTTTTGAGCAATACATAAAGTGTTGAGAATAAATCGTGATAATTAACTTATTCAAAGTTTCCCTTAATATATATTTTATTGTTCCGAATATTTTCCATTAAAATGCTGTGTGACAGTTTATATGAGAACAATATGGCACTTAACGGCAATGTCACTTAAGTGTTCAGTTAAATGCTTGGCATTACAATTTTCAGGATCTGAGAGCTTTGAAATCTTGACTTCATTTTGGTCTTGATGCCAGAAGATACACGCGTATCTTTCACTTAGAACACACATAGAATTAAATAATGTCATTAACTGATTAAATTTAACATTTTTTTAGAAACCAAACTTGTTTTAAAGAGGTCTGTATTCTTTGAGATATTCTAAAAATCTGACTCTGAAACAGCAAAAATAATGATTCTCTCCTCATGTTTAATGGTGTAGTCATAGTATTTACATTTCTTTAAATCTGAAGACTGTTCTGTTTTATATGGTAGTGTGCTCTTTGGTAAAGGACGCAACAATAATTACTGTTTCTCAGCACAAAACAAATCAAGTAGCAAATTTTAATTGAAAATTTAAAGAAAAGCATATCTGTATGAAAATCTGTTCTAATATGGACAATGGAGCAATGTCGTTACACTTTAATCCTTACATTATACAGTACACATCCCTTCACTCTGTATGCATAACTTGTAAAAATGCTTTTTCATATTAGCCTAAAAGGTTTCCTTTTTTGTATAAACAACTCCAGCATTGTATCCAAATACTGTTGTCTTCCTGGATTATCAACTGGTAAATATGTAAATATTTTAATCAGACTTTGAGCTAAACTTCAATGCAAAGTTTCTGTTAACTAATGAGAATGTTTCTCATGTTATCTAATGAGAATTAATTTGGAGTCAGTTTTGGGCTTGTAACTATAAAGTGTAATAAGTTGTTAAAATTGTAACATTAACATTATCAATTACTTTAGAAAAATAAAAACCTTATATGCCTCTACATTTCAATACTTGTGACTTCCTAGTGGCACTTAAAATATTTCTATGAACTGATTTTATGGACATTTTATGAGGTATAGTTTCTTCATTAAATCACAAGTAAGTGGAAAATAAATCACCAACTCACCATGCTTTGGAGTGTTATTAAATTTGAAGGTGCTTTGTGATAAAGCTTGCATAATATGACATCAGCTAATTGGAAGAATCCTTTTAGATCAATTTATTAATTTCTGATTTATTGTTTTTTCTTACCCGGAGACCTGAACTTTTTCATCCTATAAACATAAGGGCATTTTTTTTTGTTAACAATTAATTTCCTTCATCTTTTGTTCTAAGAAACTTGCTATTCACAAAAATTCACTATTGAACTACAGCGAAGTAAGCTTATTTTTACATGTAAGACAAAGCAACAAAAAAATGATATTTAAGATATAGCTTTATCTACTGGGTGAGATTAATCTCACTGAAAATAACTATTTTATTTGCATAAAATATTGCATTTAAGATCCATAATTCTAGTACTGGATTTATAGTTCAGCTAGAAAATGAGGCTGGTTGGACTTCCAGTGGCAAAGAGGGAGTAATAAGGTGTTTGGAAGACATGACGAGGCGTTCATCTGCAGGCTTCTCAAGTGCACAAATATGGCAGCCACTGAGTATCAAAACAGACAATGAATATGGGAGGCTCATAATTAGCAAACTAGGATTACTTTCCCTAGAGAAATTAGTGCCAACCCAATCAAACTGATGCTGCATTAATTATGGATGGAAAAAAAATAAAATTATTAGTGCATTAAAAGGTAATGGTATATTGTGTCATTGCACAAAGTGGAATATGATAAGAAAGGTTACAAACAAGAGCAGGCTATTTGGCCTTGATGTGTAGTTTTGCAGTGAAATGTGAAATGCAGTACATTATTTTTAGCTCTGCTGTTCACCTTTGTTTGTAAGAATAAAGGATAGAACAGCATTATCAGAAAGTCCTGGATGTTCTGCTTTGTCAGTTTAGTTACCGAAAGTAACAGGACTGTATTGACAATGGATCTTGGCCTAGAGAGGTCAGACACATGACCATTAGAGGTTGCATATCTATTGGGCAAGCTTCAACCTGAGAGCTGAACAAAAGTAGTTTACACGGTGAAAGAATACATTGAATGAACAGGAGAGGTCAGGGCAATTAATAGTGGTTATGTTCTGCTGTCCTATTCTAATGTTTTTAAGTATGTCTGCTCCCAAAATGTATTGCAGCACATATCTGGTGATTGCCATAGTTTAGCCTCACCTCACGTTCATATTTACTAACTCTGTTCTTCTGCAAATACCCTTCTGTGTTCCATTCCCCAAATTAAAGAGAAGATAAGAAAGGTTACAATTAGAGGTGGCCGTTAATAAAGCAATGCGTTACTTTGTGAAACATGCAATGTAAAAGGAAGTGTTAAGTGTGCTTGCTTAGAAAATTATGTCCATGTCCAAAGAAAGCAATGTTCAGTTTCTTTGTTCAGAGAAAAGGACATTTGAGATGTGTATATATATATAATTAATGTGCACTAGTACTTAACATAATAGCAAAACCACACCGGGATCCCCATACCTATAGTTAACACTATCAGAATGTCACTATTCATTCTTTAGTTGGAGAAATTGAATGAAATAAACAATGGAAATGCTATAAAATACTCCATATTCCATGTTGAAAAGAGAAGAAAAGAAACATGTTCCAGTTGGTTCAGGTGTGAGAGAGAGGGAAATGGGTAGTTGATAAAGCATGAGAGAACAAAAGCCGGGACTGGGTCAAATACAGATTATGCTATATGTGTGTTAATGTTTTGTCTTTTTAATGTGGGCATATGTATGTGTACTTCAAATAAAATTTGCAGCTGATTATTGCAGTAAGTTGTTAGTAGTTAATAAGCCACTGTAATTGATAGAACCAGTTTGCTGGCTAGTGTTACACAGGTACACATGATAAACTCTCGAGAAACTCTTACAAGGGTCTTTGCGAACAAGACAGTATGTAAGTCTGTAGATATCAGTGAAGATGTCTGCCTATTTTAAGATGCTGTTTTGTGGATGTCACTTTTTTAATGTTCTCTATTACATTTTTCATTATTTCTTCACTTGCTTTTAGTCAATACTGTTTTTTCCCCCAAAAAAACAATTTCCTTCATTGTCTTGGCAGCAGCTAGTCAGTCACTTCTGGTGACAGGGTTAGGA